GGCCTTGGTGTTATCAGCACCGCACTCTCCCGAGTGAGCCATGGGCCGGCCCCGAAATCTACTAAATTTTAATAAGAAGGGTGAGAGTCTGGGACTGGCTGATTAGCTCAGTTGATTAGAGTGTCGTGTTGTGCTGATAACACCAAGGTGAAGGGTTCGGATCCCCATACTAGTCAGCCCCTAAAAACCAAAAAAAAAAAAAAAAAGCCTGTGGTATTTGAGCCACAATCCACTTGCTCTCTCTCCTATCCTCAGCTCATTGTAACAGAATTGCCTACTCCAGTGGGTTCAACTGAGAATGCAGGAGTGCCTCTTCCCCCCAGTTCCCACTCCAGAACTATGGTATCTCCCAGGGGGTGGGGTGGACAGGCTGCCAGTATTTCTCATCTCAGTGCCCCCTCCCCTCAACTCCGTGTTCTAGAGGCTCTAATCCAAGGAAGAGCAGTTGAGAGGTAGAGGGCTCTCTTCTTCCACTCAGCCTCCACTTACAGGGTGGAGTTTCCATGCCACGAGAGGCAAAATGAGAAGACAAGAGGCTTCTATCCCAGGCCACTGCCTTGTTCATGAAGCAGGGGTAGGCCACTGTCCCTGGCTCCAGATCTGGAACAGTGGCACAAAGGTTTTGCCCAGGGGGTGAGGCAGGCCATAAGAATAGAGAGCTCTCCTCAAGTGAACTGACTTTATTTGGAATAAAGTGTAAGGAAATTCAAGCCTAAGGGTGCTCTTGAAAACCATGGACATTGTTGTAATAAGCTGTTAAAAGGAGGCTGGTGGCCTCATGAGAGAAATAAGTCACTAGCTAGTTACCTGAGAGAACCATGGAAAGAGACAGCTAAGAAGAAAGACAGCTAAGAAGACAGCTAAAGAGTGTTATCAAAAACCACCCTGGCAAAGGTGCCTGAATGTAATTGGATTAGACTCTAGAACAATTTTTTTTTTTTTTTACTTTGTAAATAAATACCAACTTATTTCAGGTTTATACTTACATGTTCCTTACAGTTCTATTTTCCATTCAGGCATTACGTGTGTGTGTGTGTGTGTGTGTGTGTGTGCATGTGTGCATGTGTGCGTGTGTGCGTGTGCGTGTGTGTGTGTGTGTTTCTGGCCAGGATGGGGATCTGAACCCTTGACCTTGGTGTTATAACATCTCGCTTTAACCAACTGAGCTAACCAGCCAGCCTCAGCCATTACTTTTTGGAGAACAATTTGTATCCTGAGGCATTTTTGAAACCAGTAAGTCAATCAGCCAATGATAGAACCCAATGCTGGGTGTAAATACCAACAGATGCAGAAGGTTTATGAGAGACCAGGGAAAGACACTGAGAACCCTGCTAAAACCACCGTCTTCCCAGGGTGACTGTGTGCATGGCTATGGCTATGCCCTCTGAAGAACAACATTGGAGGCTTCACACTGTAGGGGATACAGTGTTTACTTCACTAAAAATAGTGTTAACTTCATTAGAAAGTAAGTAAAGGGCTTGCCGGTTTGCTCAGTTGGTTACAGCATGGTGCTGATAACACCAAGGACCAGGATTCAATCCCCGTACTGGCCAGTTGCCAAAAATAATAAATAAAAAGAAATAATAAGTAAACAAGCAAAGAAGAACAAAAACCAGACCTACAGGGAAGGGGAATCGGTATCCAGAGTTGCTATAATACATTATCTAACGTGCAGTTTTCAACAAAAAATTATGAGACATGCAAAGAAGCAGGAAAATGTGACCCATAAACAAGTGGGGGTGGGGGGGGAAGCAGGCAACAGAAACTGTTTTGAGAGGGCCCAAATGTCAGACTTAGAAGACAAGGACTTCAAAGCAGCTATCATAAATATATTCAAAGAACTGAAGGAAAACCTGGTTAGAAAAAGAAAAGAGTATGATGACAAAGACTCATCAAATAGAGAATGTAATCACATACACAACAGATTGATAGAGATGATTAAAAAACCAAATAGAAATCCTAGAGTTGAAAAGTACAATAAATAAAATGAAAAATTCACTACAAGAGCTCAATGGACATTTGAACTGGCAGAAGAAAGAATCAGTGACCTTGGAGATAGATTAGTAGAGATATTCTATCTGAAGAACAGAGAGAAAAGAGAATGAAGAAAAGTGAACAGAGCTTAAGAAAAATGTGAGATACCATTAAGCAGCCCAATATATGAATAATGGGAGTCCCAAAGGAGAGGAGACAGAGAAAAAAACAGAAAAAAAATTTGAAGAAATAATGTTTGAAAACCCAAATTTGACTAAAAATTTTACACATCCAAGAAGCTAAAAAAACTCCAAGTAGGATAAACTCAGAGATCCACAGCTAGACATATCATAGTAAAACTACTGAAAGACAAAAACAAAGAAAAAATCTTGAAAGCAGCAAGAGAAAATTACCTCATCATGCACAAGGGAACCTCAGTAAGATTAACAGCTGTTTTCAAATCAATAATGATAGAAACAATGGAGACCAGAGGAAATGAAGGCAAAATAAAAACATTCCCAGATAAACAAAAACAGAGAATTCATTGCTAGCAGACCTGCTTTATAAGAAATACTAAGGGAAGATCTTAGGCTGAAAGTAAGTGACTCCAGATGGTAATTAGAATCCACAAGAAAAAGAGCATTGGTAAAGGTAATTATGTAAGTATAAAATACAGCATAAATGTATACTCCTTTTTTTTAATTGATTTAAAAAGTAACTTTATAAGATATGTACATAATTGGATTGTTGGGCTTGTAAGATATAGAAATGTAATATATTTGACAATAACTTTTTCTTCTTCTCTCAGCTTTATTAAGAGACATAAACTTATTACAATAATAATTATAACAATGTAACGCTGAATTTGTAACATATCTAGATGAATATATAGAGATGCATATATACACAAAAAGAGGAAAAAGGGAAAAGAGCCATATAGGAATGACACACATATCTTGCTGGATTAGCTAAATTAATATAAACCTGAACTAGTTTCTCATAACATAATTTGCATATATTAAGTCCTAGAGCAACCACTAAGAACTAAAAAAATAGTGAAGAGGTCATTAAAGGAATTACAATGTTATAATAGAAAATATTCACTTAATGTAAAAGAAAGCAGTAAAGGAGGAACAGAGGAATAAAAGAGACCTAAGATATATAGAAAACAAAAAGTAAAATGGCAGATGTGAATCCAAGTACATCAATAATAACATTAAATGTGAATGGACTAAACAATGTAATCAGGCAGAGATTGTCAAACTAGATAAAAGACAAGATCCAGTTATATGCTGTCAATAGGAGACACACTTTAGATTCAAAGATACAAACTGGTTGAAAGTGAAAGGATGGTCGGGCTGGCTGGTTAGAGTGCAGTGTTATAACAGCAAGGTCGAGGGTTTGGATTCCTGTACCAGCCAGCCACCAAAAAAAAGGATAGCAAAAGATACATAGTCAAGTGCCTCATAAAGACATTTTAGTCAATGATGTATCACATGTACAACACTAGCTGTAGCAATAAACTATATCATATGGCCTAGTTGTGTAGTAGGCAATACCACTTAGGTTTGTGTACATACACTTTATGATGTTTGCACAACGATAAAATGACCTAACAATGCATTTCTCAAAACATTGTTAAGTGACACATGACTATATCATGCAAATAGCAACCACAGAAAAGCTGAGGTGACTATAATAATATCAGACAAAAAAGACTTTAAAACAAAAAATCTGACTACAGATAGAGTGGGACATCTTGTAATGAAAATAGGATCAATCTATTAGGAAGATATACTAATTATAAACAGGTGTGCATCTAATAGAGTTCCAAAATACACAAAGCAAAACCTCACAGAACTGAACGGAGAAACAGACACTTTAATAATAGTTGAAGACTTTAATACCCCATATTAAAAAATGGATAGAACATCTAGGCAGAATATCAGCATGGAAATGGAGACTTGAATAAAACTATAAACCAACTAGACCTAACAAACATCTGCAGAACACTCCCCTCAATGGCAGAATACATTTTTCTCAAGTGTATGTGGAACAATCTCCAGGATAGACCATATGTTAGACCACAGAAACATATAAAAACATTGATGGCTTTTGGTGGCTGGCTGGTATGGGGATCTGAACCTGTGATCTTGGTGTTACAAGGCTGCACTGTAACGAACTGAGCTAACCAGCCAGTCTAAACACTAAAATATTAATAGACATTTCTGGTTGGTAGAAATATGAGACTAAGACTTTTATGTTTTCTTTTGCTTTTATTTATTTGCTAATTTTCCTATAATGGGCATGTTACTTTTATAAAGAAAAAAATAAAAGTTATAAAAAAGAACTGATGGATAGTAATGGAAAGGAGTAAATTGAGAGAGATGGGGGAAATTGCTTGGCCCCATTTGAACTCTTGTCAACCCAAACTCTGTTAATTCACTTATACTCACACTTGAAACTCTTCGTAAGAAACCCCACTGGAGATGCTTCCTCTCCTTCTGGAGCTATGTCCACTGTCTTCATCATCATCCTCCTCAGAGTCATCCAGGCTTCGTGGGAAACTTCGACTGCTCATGGGACGTGGTAAAGAGCTGTGATCCAAGTCCAGGTCCTCCTGAAGAACACAGGGCCATCGAGTGAGGAGCAGGAACACCGAGATCCCCCAGAAGTTTCACTGAGGGCTTGGGCAGGTAGAAAATGAGTGTGTGCCATTTACCTAGGATTTCTTTGTGGTTAACACTAGACTACGATGCCCACATTTTTTCAATTTCATGAGTTGACAATTTTCAAAGCAGATTTTAACAACCATCAAGGAGTTACTAACTTTTTGTTTGGATAAGAAAGAACATTAAAAACACAACAAAGAAAAAAGTAAGTAAATATATTATCATCTTATTTTCATAAAAGATCACACATTTAATAGTTCCAAAGTAGGAAGGATATAATAATCTCAGAATAAGAATTTTGACTAAATACAGCCTTGTGAAAATTTTACTCATTGTCTGTGTGTTTACATTTCACTATGACTGGTGAAATTTGTCACCTACTGGCACTGTTCTGTGGAACAGCATTTAGAAACCACTATTCTAAACTTCTCCTCATAGGAAAGTGGCTTTAGTGTATAACACTAATCTGTATTCTCTGTACCTCAATTACCATGTCTTTTTTTTTTTTGTTTAACCATTTATTTTTGAAAATTAATGGTAAAGCTTTTATTTATGTATTTATTTGAAACATAATTGATTATACATATTTGTGGTGTACAGAGTGACTATCAATACATGTGTACAATGTGTGATGATCAAATCAGGATAATTAGCATATCATTACAAATGTAATTCTTTGTGTATGGTAAAGCTTTTAATTATTTTTTTCTGATTATAAAAGTCCATTTACTTTTACTATTAACTTTGTCTTAAGTATTCAAATGGAAGACAGCTGTTAATTTTAATTTTTACTATAAATATTAATATTTAAAGAGCAACTAACTAAACAGAATAACTTTATATCTTCTGATAAGATTTTTTCTTTCTTTTTCTCTCATTCTCATGGACATTGTGAACTATGCAACTTACCAGGCTTCTCTTTTCAAGTTGATTACTAGAAAGCTTAGGGCCAAATCTGTAGCCCAATATTAATAAGCATATGTAAGCATGTGTGTTTATGGAACACATTTTTTAGCTTCATTTGTAATCTATTATTTTTACTTTTGCTTTGCCTCACTCTTCATTTTGACTTTTTTACAGTCATACTCACATTGTATTTATTTTTATATATCATTGTGTTAAATATCCTTTTTGAAATAAGCAGGATACTAATACATAAACTGAGTCAGAGAGAGAGAGAGACACTCAGTAGCCCACTAATTAGTGTCTGACACATTGTGGGTGCTGAATTAAATCATGTTCTCCTAAATTAGACCCACCCTCTCTTTTTCCAAGTCATCTCTCATCTGCTGATGTTCATGTTCGGTCAGTTCTTGGTCTCCATCTTGGTCATACTTTGTGAATATTGCTTCAATCTCTGCATCAGTATGGCCCTTCCTGAAATGATTGAGAGGATACAAATGAACTCATTCTTGTACATGGTCCAATCCAAACACAGAGACATCAGAATGCAGGAGGAAAGGAGAAACTGCTGAACGGGGGCCAGTTCTCCTCTTATAATATGTTCCAGAATAATACCTGCCTCTGATAAAAAAGTCTCT